GAGTACAGCTGAGAGTGAAATTATAGTCGTTAAAACAACAAACCAGCCATCATCCAAGGAAACAGCCAATAATCAGAGAGACGGGAGGGAGCGAGGAACCCCCAAACACGGCTCTTGAGAAAGCCAGGCGCAAAGAAGGGCGAGCGCGGTCAGGAGGAACCGGGATGTCGGCGCCCTGTTGGCCTGGCCGGGCCCGCCCGCCCAGCGAGCCCGGGAGGCCAAGGCGGGCGGGGGCGGGGGCGGGGACGGCACCCCCTCCCCGCCCCCCTCCCCTGGCCCGGCCGCCGCCACGTCCTGCATCGTGGATCTCACTTCCGTGCCACCTCCTGTGTCCGAGCAGCAGCCGCTGAGGACCACAAACCACGGACTCAGGAACCAAGTACAAGAACACACGGGGGCGGGGGGGGGGTGCCCCAGGGTTCAGGCCGCCCAGAAAGCAGAACCCAGGCGAGCGGCAGGGACCCACTCGGGCCCATAATCGGATCGCTCGCTGGCTACCGACCAACTTTCGCTGCCGTCCGGCACTGCCGATTCTCACCTTTCCCGACCATCCCCCCCGACCCGAGCATCGGACTCCAAAGCTTGGGGGACCCCATCATGAACACAGCCGTCCCACGCCTCCGTGTGCTCCCCGCCGTGCCAGGCACCTTCCCAGCTCCCCTACGCAGCAGTTACTCGGCGGGTAAACGCCGCTGAGACAGCCTCGCCAGGGCCCCCTCCCACGTGGGCGCTGCGCGGCCCAAAGGCCTCGCTCGCCAGCGACAGCCCGCTCCTCGGGGAAGGTGGAAGGAGCCCGATGTCACCCAGCCGCGGAACCCAAGCGGAAGGCTGCGCTGTTTGCTCCCGGGGCAGGCAGAAGGCGCACGCGGCGCAGCCCAGCCCGCCTTCCCAAAGGGGGCCCCATCCCCATGACCAAGGTGGGGGGTCTCCCTGAGGAAGCGCCCGCGAGGGATCTTCGCTCCGGCTGGGACCTCTGCACTGGCCAGCACCCCCAAGGGCTCTTTCTCCTGCCCTCCCTGCGGAGGGTGCGCCGAGGCCCCGCGGGAACCTACGACGGCCCTCCCATCACGGGACAAGGACCCGCGGTCCCTGAAAAGCTCACCATCGGCCCTTTCCACCCTCGGCGGGGCCGCGCGCGGTCCAAGGACCGCGGGCACGGTGGGGCCGAGGCAGCGTCCCAGCTGTTCGTACGCAAAATCATACAGTCGTTAATACATAACGATTCAGAAAGAAACTGTTTTGGGCAGTCAGGGCCGTGGCCCTCCTTTCGCCCCTCCCTGTCGGCGGCGGCTTCCTCCGCAGGCGGACCTGGGGCAGGAGCTGTTATTATAGAAGATTCTGTTTCTGCTGCCTGCTCTGCGGGAGTCCCCGTGCCGACTGAAATCCGCCGGCTGGGGACAGCAAGCAGCAGGACGGGTGAGGTGGGGCTGCGGCCTCCGGCGGGAGGGGACGGGGCGGAGCGCCACCACGCGCCTGCCCCTGAGGGGCGCACGGGGTGCCCCGGGCCCCAGGCAGACCCACGGGCACGTCCCCCCAGGCTGAAGGGGGGGGCCCGGTGGCCCGTGGGAAGCTCCGGGAGCGCAGGCAGGCACACAGCAGGTCAGGTCTCGCGCTGCGTGAGGGCGAAGCCCCGTGCCCGCCGTGGCGACCCTGCAGCCCCTGGACGCCCACAGAGACGCCCCCTCGCGGAGCGGCCTGATCTTCCGGGGCGTCTGCATGGCTTTGAAGGTCAGCTGATCGTTTTTGGCCGATTTTTTTAAACGCCCTAACGAATTCCGGTATCAGACACCTGGGAAACCCAAGGACCAGGAGACCGCGCTTGACAAGGGCCCAATTCCGAAGGCTGAACAGTGGTACCCTCCGCCCTGTGCCTGGCCCTGTTACCAACGGCAGACACCACGGCTGGCTTCCTAAAGCTCAGGCCCGGCCCGGCCCAAGGAGGTAGCCGCTCACCCAACCTGGCGAAGGAGCGCTGACGTGTGCGCACTTTGACCTGGGACGTGCGACGGGCATGACAGGCGCAGATTTCAAGGACGAGCTCGCGAAAAGCACCGCGAGGGACCCCCACGGCTTCGGGCCGAATGGCAGCGCCGGGGAAGCCGCGAGAGACGAGACGTGGCCGGCCCCGTGCCCGCTGCGCCCCTGGCCGTTTCCCGGCGGCTCCCGGGAAGCTGAATGGGCTCCTGTTTCAGGTGCTGCTGCCCCGCAGCGCCGGCTTACGTGTCTCTTAAAGAGGAGAGCCCACCTCTGTGCTCCTAACTGGAGCTGCTCACCTACCAGAGGACCTTCCTTCGGAGGGCGCTGAGCACCAGCCGGCTGGCTGGCTGCTTCCTCCAGAACCGGGTCCTGGTGCGTAAACAACCCCAGCGCGCCGTTCTCGCGCCCTACGTGGCACGGAAAGCCGCAAGGATTACCTGGGTCGGGGCCAGCGGTTGCCTTGTGTCAACAACCATGGAATCCTATGTTCTCTTTTCTGTTTGAAGAACAATGGCAAGGGCGCATTTCAAAACACCCCAAAAAGCGCTCCGGTGTCCCTGTAAAAATCTGCAGTTACTTCCTCGTTCCCCTCCCATTATACAAACTTCTCCGACCCTGTAACAATTTCCCATGAAACGCTCTGCGTTCAGTTTCGCTTCCTTGAAAACCAAGTATCCGTCGGGCCCTTCCTGCTGTGGCTCAGTTGGAGTGTCGTCCTGTACACGGGAAGGCTGGGGGTTCGATCCCCGGTTGGGGGGCCCACCCAGCGTGCGGGTAGATGCCTCGTCCGTCATACGGGGGAGGCAACCAACTGATGTTTCTCTATTTTTCTTTCTCTCTCAAATCCATAACCATAGTTCTAAAATTAAAAAAAAAAGAGAGAAAAGAATCCGAAAAGAAAGCCAAGCCTCACGTATCGGGGCCACATGGACAAAGAGACCGTCCTGGGGAAATGGATCCAAAACCTCAAAAAGCAGACCTACTGCAAAAGATCGCACTGTGAACGGACGATACATTGTTGCACCGGCAACAGATAAGCTTAAGGGAGGTACTTAAGAATCAGAGCAGGCCTGGCTGTGTAGGTTCAGTGAGATAAACTAGCACATTCTACAATGTAGAGCTTAATGCGTTTCAGAGAGCGAGCGAGAGAGAGGCTCAAGGTGAATTCCTCAGACAGGTGCCTGAAGCCTGACCCCCCGCAAGAATCGGCCAGGCCGGAAAGGAGAGAAAGGGCAGGAGACGGCAAGGAGGAAGGAGGTAGGTCTTGTCTGGGCACATGCCACCTGCTCTTGGTTTTCAGATCCTCGAGCCAGGCGCCGCCCCAGCCCACTGGCGTGAAGTAGCAAAGAGGAGGCCCTGGCTGCTCGCGACCCACAGGCAGGGCCACGGCAGGCCCATTTCATCGCTTCGGGGAACGGCTGTGGCACCTCGGCCCCAAGCCCACATCCGGCTCATTTAGAAGTTTGGTAAGTTTAATTTTCATGAGACGTCGCGGTGCGCGTTAAAATTCATAAGGGCCCCACAGCAGGTTCTCTGGACCTTTCATGAGAGGGTGAGGAATGGGATGGTTTAACTGCTTGAAACACCAGAGCAGGAAAATTCACGTCGACACGCTGTCCTGACGGATCCCGGGAGCTTTGGGAAATTGAGTCATGTCAGAATTAGCGGCTGGCCGCCCTGTTCTCTCCCATTAGGGACCTCTCTGGGGATTTTTTTTTTTTTTTATTCGTTAGGAATTCATCTGTGTCTCTCTCTGGGTCCCTAGCCAAGCGGCTGTTTTATTTGCGTGCCTTTAAAAACAATCGGTCTCATTGCTAGTGAACCTCCTAGCAAAGCGATGAGCCGAGCACAAAGTCATGCCTGCCTTTGTTGAGAGGAGACCATCCCTTCTATTTACCGTCCTAAGGATCTGGAATCTTTTCTCAGAGCCCGGTGACCTCCCGCCGGTCACTCCCTCTCTGCCTTGCGGCGGGGGTGGGGGGGTTTGGGTTTTAATCCGTCAACGCAAACATTTCCTGCAGCCTGCCAGGATTTTAGGAGATGAAGGAATAAGGTATCCACCCCCCTGCCCCGCCCCCCTAAGCAGATCGTCGTCTGCATCACGTCTCTGGGCCTGGCTGAAGTCCTCGGAGGCCTTCTGGAGGCTGCGGGGTCAGGCCCGGGGTCGCGCTCTCGCCAGGCCTCGCTGCAGTTTTATTTATTCACGGAGCCTTTGCTCCTTTGAGTGCTACTTGAAGGCGCTGTGGCTGGTGACGGTAGGACCTACCCCAACCGCCTACAGGGCTGTTTAGTGCGCGTACAGGCCCGAAAGCCTCTCGAGTGCGTTAACTCAGCGCGCTTCTCGCCCTGGCAGCCTCTCGGGTGCACAGGCGGACTCCGAGGGCGCAGGGGGCGGCGGGCTGGGGCCGGGGCGCCACGCCGCCCGCCCGGCAGCTGCCAGGCAGTGTCCAGCGGCGCGCGGTCACTCCGACATGAGGGCGCCGGTGCTGTGGGGCGGTGCTGGGCCTGGCCCTGCGGGCGGCGCAGCAGCGGCGGCGGCGGCGGCGGCGGCAGCGCTGGCCTCCACCCTCTGGAGGACAGCATCCCCAACCCCCACTCCACGGAGGGTGCCGCCAATGCCTCCAGACACTGTCACATGTCCCCACACCGGCAGGTTGAGGACAGCTGCCCTGCAGGATGCTACCGGCAAGGTGCGTGCACCGGGGCAGGCGGGTTGGGGGTCCTCCAGCACCCTGTGCAGGTGGGGAAACTGAGGCGGGGCGGCCCGCGCGCCCGCAGCCCTCGCGGCCTCACGCAAGCCTCCTGCCCGCGCGGGGGTCCCCGAGCGCTGCGACCCACGCGCGGCGCGGCCACCGGAAATGGGTGCCCGCGGCGGCGGCGGCGGCGGCGCCTGGGCCCCGCGCGCGGCCCCGCCGCCCGCCGCGGGGTCCCGGGTACGGCCCCACCGCGGCCCCGCGAGCCCGCGCTCCCTTCCCGCGCCTTCCCCGGACAGCCCTCCCGGGATGCGCCCGCAGCCTACCCACCCAGAAGGAGGCCGTCCATGTCAAAGAGTAGGTGGGTGACTGGCCGTGGCACGGGCATGGGCGCCGCCATGGTGTCGCCGTTCGCGGGCAGGTGGGGGTGGGGCGGTGGCGCGCGCGCGCTCCGGGCCTCGCCGCGCTCGCCGAGGCGCTCTGCGCATGCACGCCCCCGGGCCTCCGCGCGCTCGCGCCCCGCGCCGGTCCCGCGCACGCGCGCTCTGGGCCTCCTGTTTCCGCCCGCCGCCACCACCCCCCTCCGCCGGCCGTCGGTGCGCACGCGCGCCCTGGGCCTCCCCCAAGCTGCGCGGCCCGAACCGCACCGCCTCTGCCTGTCGCGTAGGAGTCGCGGCCGGGACAAGTTGGCGCCTATCCACCCCCGACCACTCCGCACTCGCACACGGGCCGGGATGCTCGGTCAGGGGGCCGCGCGGAGCCTATTTCCCGGGGTCGGGCCACGCGCGTGGCTTGAAGTTAGAAAGGGCATGCAGTGCGGAAGAAAGGAAAGCCTGGAGGGGTTTTTGGCGCGGGCTTTGCGGGGAGGGGTGCAGAGATGCTTGGGGTCGGCTGCCCACGCTGCGAGCCGCCGGGCCGTGTGAACGCTAGGCGCCCCGGGCACGGGAGCCCCCGCCCCCGCGGAGGGCTCGTCTGGCCCTGGGCGCGGCGCGCGGCGCGCGGGTCTGCAGCCTTGGCAGCTGCATCTCCTGCGCGCCTCCGGGCAACCTGGCTGGTGCATTGTCCCCAGGCAAACTCCGAAGACCAGAATCTGATAGGAAAGACAGATAATAAGACTCTCTTAAAACAGGCGTTGCTGTCTTTGCCTTCTCTAGCCCGATCAGTCTTTGGTTGCTCTGGCTTTTCTTCCTTTTCCAGCCTTTCTGAATGCATCCTGCCAAGCATTTCTGCCCCACGCTCAGGGAGACCTTTTTGTCCCTGTCGCTGAATGATGGTCGTTGACGTTGCCTACGCACGTGTAAGCATGAGGAGGAGACCTTGCAAGAAGCAGAGAGGAGAAAGTTCCAGAGACTTTAAAATGGGAGGGGGTGTGTGTGTGGGGTCAACTTCTGAATCTGGGCGCAAGCTGATCGCCGATGCAGGGCTGTGCGGCCTCGGTGCCTCTGTTGCCTCCAAGCGCAATGCTAAAACAGTATATGTTTCATTAACTTATGTCTTTTTAGAGCTGCTCTTGTCAAGAGACTTTGCCCCACTTAATCCCATCATGATCTTCCAGTGAGAATGCAGAACCTCAGAGAAGGAAATTAATCAGCCAGCTAGGGCGTGGTGACCCAGCATGCCTTGCTTGGGTCATGGCCCAAAGGACCTTGGCGTGGGCGGCCTCAACAGCAGGAAGGTCTCGCCGCCCCGTTCAGCAGGCCAGAAGTCTCAGATCAAGGTGTCAGCCTCGTTCCTTTCCTCCGAGGCCTCGTCCCTCGGCTTGTCGGCGGGCTTCTTATCCGCGGGTCTCCCTGCGGTCTTCTCCCTGCGCGTCTATTTCTGTGCCCCGACGTACCCTTTAGGGAAGGAAACCAGTCCTAACAGATGACCACCACCCTCCTGAGCCCGTTTTTAGGTCGAGGACCTACATGAGGACTCTTGTTTTCCAGTAAGGCCACATTTTCCAATAAGCCCTGGGAGTTTGAACTCTAACACCCCTTTTCCGGGGGGACACCGTGCCCCCTGTGACATTCATGTCGCCCACGAGGGTGGAGCCCCCGCAGCAGGCCCAGGCCCCGCTGCTGGGTGGGCCCTTTAGAGCGCTTGTTTCTTTCCATTGTCTCGAGACCCATGGACCTGCAAACCAGAGGGTTGTTTTTCTTGCCCCTTGGGGCAGCATTACGGTTCTGCCGGTCCCTTCGAGAAAAGGAGTGTTTTGAAAAGGGACAGGCACCGCGGCTCCAGGCCTAAGAATGTGAACCCAAGCAACCCCCCGGATGCTCACCGCACAGCCAGGAGGAGCCAGGAAGGAGCTCAGGGAGCGGCCCGGGTTTGCAAGCCACCTAGGGAGCGGGCGAAAAGCTAAGCAAATGCAGCGTTTCAGGTGAGGAAGCTGTCAGCCGGGCAAGGGCGGAGCTCCTTGAAGAGCTTCCTCCTTGCCTGGTTCTAGCCCCTGCAGCTCCGGGCAGGGCCCTTGTCGGAGAGTCCCTTTCGTATGCTAACAGGAACCCGCCTGCGGGCGGGGAGCTCCCCCTTCGTCTGGGGCAGAACTGCCAGAACGTCATTGTCGCTGGGGGAAGAGATGCCGCGGAAACCGAACGGTGTGCTTCTCCACAGCTGCTTCCCTATTTCAGTTATTCGCCACAGTGTTCGGAAGCATGTGTTGCATAGGTGGGGGTCCCCCATCACTTTGACAGCACCGTGTCGTCTGACGACACGTTGTGACGACATGGTTTTGCCATGAGCCGGCCTGGAAAACAGTGAACATCTGTGGTCCCCAGTGGGTTCTGCGCAGCCGACGCGACGCTTTCAGCTTTTCGTTATTCTGACGGTCAGATGGGGGCGGCTTCTGGGAAGAGACAGAGTTTTCCTTCTACCAACCACGGCGCGTTTTTATTTTATTATTTTAGAATCCCCAGCCAAGAGTAAGTTTTCACTGATGTTCGAGGGAGAGGAAGGAAAAGCAAGGGAGACAGAGAAACAAACATCTGTTGCCTCCCACACTCGCCCCAACCAGGGATCAGACCCTGAGCCTCCGTGGGCTGTGACCTGGAGTCACACCCACCCACCTTCTTGAGTGTGGGATGGCACTCCCGCCAACCGAGCCACCGAGCCAGGGCTATCCCTGTTGGTGCCAACCCGTTTTCCCCAAGGGGCGAGCGCTCGCGTTCCTCGACAACGTGAGCGGCAGGAGGGACGGCCCAGTGACCTGTAGCACAGGGGTCTCAGACGCTCACGAACCACAGGTGGGACTCATAAAATCACGGTACTTCCTCAGCGACGTATAAACGGAAACATGCCATGTACTGTGAGAGGAAGACATACAGCGTTCGATGTATACAAACAGATACCAAGGGGGACCCCAAAATGGAATCATCCTCTGCTGGGCAGGCCCCTTGTAGTCAAGGCCTCCCCTGCTCGCTGAGTTCTCATGTGTATTGGTGACCCAGCTGGCGTCGTTGTGAGAGGCTGCGTTCGGCTTCAGTGCAGTCTTTTGAAGACCCTTTCAAGGCATCTGCCCATTCCATGGCGGGCGATTTACGCGCACACACGCCCACACCACGCGGAGTGGTCAGCAGTTTCTGACCAAAAGCAGCGTGACCCCCTTCCCCACCCTGCCTATTCACCCCATCTCGCCGCAAGCAAGTTTTTTTGTTGTTGTTTCCCGGATAAAAAAAAAAAAGAAGTCCTCCGAGGGCAACGTGTTGCCGAGACGGAAGAGGGGAAACCAGAAACGCAGAAGCCGCGAAAAGGCATCGGAAGCGACAAGATCCAAAAGTGTGTGGCGCAGCGGGAACAATGATCTCGATACAACGATGGCCTGAGGTGGCGAGTGCTTTGAAGGGGACTGACGTTTAACCAGGGAAGAATACATACACATTGTTTTACAAATACACGCCAGGGGGTGTGGGGGGCGGGGGCGGGGCGCAGGCCTTGTACGGGCCGGTCTGTTCCGTCTCCGCAAACGTCACCCCTCTGGTGGCTCACTTTCTCCGCGCTCCGGCCCGTGTGTTTGCTTTCTGTGTTGTATTTGGAACGGCGCTGGAGCCCGGTTATGTTTGGAAGCTGGCCCAGCTCTTCAGTGCGCCCTAGGCAGGCCGCGCGCCTCCTTCCCTTCCTCGGCCTTCTCCGTCTGCCTTCCTCTCCCGGCCCCTGTGCTTCCTTCCTTCATCCCCTCTCCTGCTGGGGGTCTGCCCAAACCCTGTCGTGTTGCCTCCTCCCTGTAGTACCCGTCGGGTAGGAGGAGTGTTTACGGCAGAGGTACCTGCGGACGTTGGCCGGGTGGGTCCCTCGTGGCTCTTGCCCCGGAGTTGCAAGCAGGGTTGGGCTAGGCCCGGCCTGCGCACCTTCCAGCCTCTCACGCGTCTGTGCTCGGCTTCAGCTGGCTGTGCGCCGTCTCTCACGAGCACCTTGCGCCGCGCGGACATCCTTGGCCCGGCAGAAAGGCTTGGAGGCCAGGCAGAGTCACGCCTGGGCTACGCGGGGGGCGGGGGGCCCTGGCCAGTGCCAGAGCACCTATCCAGGGCAGGCGCCGAGAGCCCAGCCTAAAGGGCGGTGGGTTGTTCGTGGTTACGTTGGCCGTTGGTTTCAGAGCAGCCTCGGTTGGAGCCACCAGCCCTCCCAGGCTGAGCTCCGCTCGCTGCTTTGCAAACAAGCCGCCATTTCACTCTCCCCTGGACCTGGCGAGGCGCAGCGTAATTATTCTTGTTATAATTATTCTTGTTCTACAAACAAGGATGGGGCGGTGCGAGGAAGCAGCGCGTCGCCCGAGGCCACACACCTGCCAGGGAGCAGCAGGCAGGTGTGGTCCTGGACGGGTGTGCTCCGTCCGAGCGAGCCCGCAAACGCCACCACCTATTTTTACATCTTTCCCTGTGTTTTAAACTGTCCTGCCTTGCGGGTAAGCCATCCACAGCAAAACCCTAATGGATAAGGAATGTGAAAATCAAATACATTCATGATTGTACCAAAAAGAGGAGGGGGAGGGGGATAGATTCTGGAGACCATCAGCCAAAAAACGGAGAAAAACCCACAAGAAGACCCTCGTTTTTTCCTGTGCAGCGTGGATGTTGCTCAAGCCGCGAGCAACGTGCTTGCGTGACCGGACTGCCTGACCGTGTCCCCCACGCCGCAGGTGGCGGCGGCGGCAGCCCGCTGGGTGGCCGCCGCCTCGTCCTCCCCACGGGGACCTAAACCAGGAACGGGGGGTGTCCCCGTCGCTCCTTCATCCCCAGGCAACGTGTGCACAAGCCACTGGTGTCCGGGGAAAACGCGCCCGTCCACGGTCCCCCGTGCGCTGCGCGGTTTTGATTGTCACGCAGCAGCCCCCGCACACGCCGCGTCCGTGTTCTGAGGAGAACGAGGGGCCACTCCCCCCTGGGTTGGTTCCTCCCGGCTTCTTCACGGGCCACACGTCCGTGATGGCTGGGCGCGGCCGGGACT